TGTCATAGCATACGCTGGCCGCCTACTTTCTAAGTCGGAAAGAAACTTTTCAATTACTGAGCGATAGTGCCCGGCTCTCATCTGGACTATCGCGAAATTTCGTCCGTACCTATATAGACGCACGTTCGCAGTCATCACAGACCACCATGCGCTCTGCTGGCTGTCAACCCTTAAGGATCCTACAGGAAGACTCGGGCGATGGGCATAGCGATTGCAAGAGTACACGTTCTCTGTAGTGTACAAGTCTGACAAGCTTCATAGCGATTCCGACTGCTTATCTCGACACCCTGTTGATCCACCCGACTCCACTGAGTTGGAAGCTGATGCCAACATCCTAGCCATAGCAGATTTTCTGCAAATAGCCGACAAACAACAATGAGATCTGTCGCTGCTATCGATGATTGACAGTCTTCAATCAGGCCAAAAAGACCCTTCACGGAGCCTATTTTTTCTTGTAAACAACGTTTTGTTCCGCCCCAACTTACAGCCCGATGGCACGGAGCTTTTGTGCCACGTCATCTGCGCAAGCACATCTTGCAAGAACTTCACAACGCCACAACTGCCGGGCATTTAGGTGTCTCCAGAACCTATGACTGCGTCCGGCGACGGGTATTCTGGAAGGGCTTTTATCGTTTCGTTCGCCGCTACTGTGCAGCATGTGACCTGTTCTAGCGTCAGAAGAAGCCTACGTTTCTCCCTGCCGGTCACCTTCAACCTATTGAAGTCCCAGCCAAGCCGTTTCATCGGGTGCGTTTGTATTTGTTAGGTCCCTTCCCAACATCGGCAACGGGAAACAAATGTATAGCAGTAGCTACAGATTATGCCACTCGGTATGCAATTACTCGAGCGCTACCGACCAGCTGCGCAACGGACGTCGCAGATTTCCTACTCTATGACATCATCCTTCAGCATGGCGCTCCTTCTCACCTACTTACGGACCATGGCCGCTGCTTCCTGTCTCGTGCGGTTGACGACCTCCTTAGATCCTGTGCTACGCGGCACAACTTTACGACTTCTTACAATCCTCAGACTAATGGACTTACTGAACGCCTCAACCACACACTGACGGACATGCTTGCTATGTATGTTTCCGACGACCACACTGATTGGGACTCTGCCCTTCTGTTCGTAACCTTCGCCTACAACTCGTCGTGCCATGAAACTGCCAGCTACTCACCATTTTATCTTCTCTTTGGCCGCGATTCCTTACTACCTTTTGATACCCTGCTTGCGCAAGACCTTCCGTTCACCACTTTGTACGCACAAGATGTCATCTCCCGTGCTCTAACCGCACGTACAGTAGCCCGCGCCATGGAGGTTCTCATCGTCCCAGAGAGCAAAAAAGTCGCTCTACGACAGCCGACATAAGAATGTCGATTTTTCTCCGGGCTCTTTCATGCTACTGTGGCTGCCATACAGTCGTGTCGGCCTGCGCGAGAAACATTTATCGCAATACGTTGGGCCTTACCGAGTTCTGCGCCAAGTCGCACCTGTCACCCATGAAATTTCTCCTACTACGAACCCAACCGTTACATCCAGAAGTGACATTGCGCGATTTCTCGCCTGAAGCCCTATCACAGTGACCCGTCCGTCTAATAACAGCAGGCACCGGGACGGTGCTTTGCCGCCGTTGGTAATGTCACCGGTATAAAAAGGTACCTCAAACACAGGTGCAGAAATGACGCAGAAGGGCTGAAGATTACGATGTTGTTGTGGGGCAGTGTCTAGACTGCCCTGTTGTCCTGCATCCTTGCCCGCTGTGAGAAGTGTTTGCCCAACCGGCGTTAACTTATTAAATACTCCCCGTTACAATATCAATAACATAAGAAACATCAAACATTGTAGTTTGCGATTTCTGTTCCATTACCCTGCGTGAGGGAGAGTTTTGTTAAAAATTGGTATTTTCTTGTAACGTGTACACACTTCGGATATACGCAGTAATAAACGTAAGGCCGAGAAAGAACGAGAAAGCTTGTTCATGCGTATTTCTGTTGCGATCAGCACAAATAAAATGTTCCACTTGCGGTGACTCTTCCCGAATAATTCACGCATGAAAACTACACGCCGCGTTACACTCGATACATGAGCTGAACTTTATTTAAATTCATTACCTATTTTAAATAAACTTCTAACGTCTTAGATTTCTTATTGGACCACTTTGTGATTTGTTCTGCACTAATCTCTGTGGTTACTCTACGTTAATGAGTATCTTTCGAGAAAAACAACGATGGCGAGCCTTTCAACGCTTTCTTATGAAGTGGACGCGAGGTAAGCACCTGAATTCTCGTGCTACGCCTTGCAACTGAATGACTTGACGTGCGATGAGAATAGAATAGGCGAAATGGGCACTCGTCGGGGCTGTTCTCATTTCATTTTTTGTCCTAATACTGGTGACATTCCGTATTTCAAGGCAACTTCTTTTCTACTGCATCCAGCGTTTTGTTACATGCACGGGCACCAGGGAAGGATTCACAAAGCTCGTAGTCCACGTTTGCTTTGCCAGTGGCCAGCCTGCTTCCTTAAAAGTATGTCGAACATTACGGTTGGCTGAACTTTTTTCTTGGGAATGGTGCTGTCACAAGAACTTTTTTGAGTACGGGTGCAGTTTCTGAGTGAACGTTCAGAAGAAATACATTAGCTTTGCAGGATAATTTATGACCATTTTTTATATGAGAGCGTCGCATTTTATTAAGGTACTTGCGTGACAATTCATCATTATGTAAAAAGTTCTTTGTTCCATGTTTACAGTGCTTCGAGTTAGCGTGTGGTGCTGTAGCGTTACATCGGGCTTTTTACCACGAACTAAAAAGTTATGTAAATACGAGGTCTGCTGCTTTTCTTTGTTGTTACCACCATTGCAGTGATGCACTAAGTTCACAAGAGTGCGTGTTCATTTCTCAGAACAGGCATAAATTCAGAGCGCACGTCTGGTTGTTTCGAATTCTTCCTCAAAACACTAACGTGCAGACAGGTGTGCTGGGTCTGGATAATAATAATAATAATAATAATAATAATAATAATAATAATAATAATAATAATAATAATAATAATAATAATAATAATAATAATAATAATAATAATAATAATAATAATAATAATAATAATAATAATAATAATAATAATGTGTGAAGCAAACAAAGAGAGAAAGCAGGGACGCTAAACGGAGAGACTACTGGTTGGCTACGCTACACTGGGGGATTAGGGAAGGGGAATAGAAAGATAAGAGATGACGGAAGAGAAACGAAAAAGGGAGAGAGAGGGAGTGAATTCACTGCAGCGTAGTTAATAAGTAATGGTATATCGAAGGTAAGCTGGAGCGTTGCTTGTAAAGAAAGAAAGCTATTTAATAAGATTTCTTACATGAATTTGGTGCTCGACGAAATATAAACCAGCATTAATTACTACCTGTTAATGTTCGCTTGTAATGCCCGCTGATATTTCATAATTACACATGACAGCCGATTCATATTATATCCCTCACCTCTCTTTTTTTGTTTATCTTGAACTTAGGAGTTGAGAAGACTAATGCACGTGTTTCGTAATGGCAACCTCGCTTCGGAGGTGGGTATGATTCCTTACCGAAGTCTGCTACGAAAAAAGTACACAAAAAGACGCAGAATTCGCTTTGAACACATGTTCTTTTTGTTGTAAAAAATACATGAAGCAGCAAAAAAATGTCGGCAAATATGAAGATGCATGTTTTATTTTTTTATTCAGAGTACATGCAGTGGTGAATGCGTATATGAGATGTATTTAGTGGAGGGGCAATACTCTGCGGCTAGTCATTCGTCTAATGATCAAATAACTGACACTAATATCGTTCAGTGACTGGAAGGACAAATGAACACACCAGAGCGTATACTTGACATCTAAAAAAGACTAGAAAGGAGTGACATTTACCTTCGCTTCTTGCACACTCGCTAATATAAGGTAAACATGTTGCCATAATCCACACTTGCGTCGTATAGGTTGGGAAAAACCTTTCGAAGAGGCGCAGAGAAAGTGACGAACTGGCCTCAAGAGTCCTTTCGCGTGTCGTTGTGAAAACTGAAAACGTTGCAATTACCGTAACTACCTTGCACCATCTATTCAATAAAGCAGTCATTAGAGACCGTGGTTTAAATTCATACCTACTCGCCTCACTTTCTTAGTGAATGCATGATGTTGTACTGCCAAGCACGTGGGCATGGGTTCCGATTTTGGCCCCAGCGGTAGCATTTCGTTTGCAACAAAATCCAGGAACGCATGTGCAGGTATATTTCAGTGCATGTTCAAGAAAACCTTGGGGTAACAAGTAATTCGTAGTTCCCCCCAACGGCATATCTTATATTAATATTGAGGTTTTAGCACGCTAACTCCACATATATATTGTAATTTTTATTTTCCTGAGCAATGATGCTTGGAGCCACGGCAGCCTTGCTCAACTCGTACGGAAATGCTACATTTCAACTGTTATACAACTGTGAAGGATCTCCACCTTCCTTCATTGCATTTCAACTTGATTTTTTTTCCTTCATGAGAGACATACCACCTTCTCCTGCACTACTTCTTGATTTATGATCGTTGCATCTATGCACAAAGATGTGTCTCGCGATGTATCGTTATTGCTAAGGCAAAGAAAAAAACTACACCTGCGATAGTGAACAGCTTTTTTTCAGCGTGGCAAGAGCTAAGCCTGAAATGCGAGGTTGGAGCTATTTTTTTTGGTATTTGTAAATTTGTGCACATTAACAACCAGGCGAATCGTCAGTACCCCACACTGAAGCTGACGGTGTTTCCTCTAAGGATGGCGTCATTTCTTCATTCGTTCTGTCACCCCAACTTTGTGTTTGATGAGGGATAACACAATTATTAGAGAACATAATTATTTCGCCTTGTGTTATCCCACTTGAGTGAGGTAGTCTATAGGGCACACTCGGCGAAATGACACTCCGGTAAAGCTGTATTAGCTTGAGTGAGCGTTTTCTTTGTGTGGCGTATTGTAAAGTATGCTATCGCAGTGCGAGACATATAAAAATATATATTCAAGCTCTGCAGAGCTGTACCCGGGAGCAGGCTCACAAGCTCATCCAAAGAAAATTGCTCAAATATTTTGCGTTTCTTACACAAAGATTATTTGCAACTCAAAGTGAAAACACCAGGTGCCGATACAGCTATCGCATCGCGTCAGGTTTCACACGCTCGCCAAGTGTTGTTGTTTTTTTAGTCTTCTGAGAGCCTCGCCAGACGACGAAAACTAGTCGGTGAACCGACCGAGCAGTGACATGTAAGGCAACGTCAAGGTACACTCTGTTCACTTTTTCCATCCATAGTGCAGGCCTTTGGGGCCTCCAGGACTGAGTCCCCCTCCGGCTAAAGGAACGTTGAAGCCGACCAGCTCCTGCTTCAAGTGCACGACAGGTCTGATGGTGTGGCTGACAGAGGCCACCGGCTGATGGACATAAGTGACCACAGGCCGGGCCACGTAGCCGATGCGGATAAATGGCTGCCGAACGAAGGACACCGTCGTGGCCAGAGGCACAACCTGTGCAGCTCCAGGTGATCCAAGACTCAGTGGATCCAGGAGACCCACACCAAATCCGTCCCCAAGACTGAGGCTACCAGGTCCTCCAAAGGAACCAGGCCCCAGGCCACCTGGTTCTACATCACCGCAGTAGCTCAGTTGGACGGCCAAGCATAGCACGACGAAGCACAACATGCTGAACTGTGAAGGCAACGATGTAAAAAAGACGTTAGTATATCTCCTCAATTTCGACACGTACTTTACTGAGGTTGCTGCTGCATAATATCAAATGAAAATACCTTCCCTCTTGCCTTTCGTTCAAAAGCCCCGAGAAGAAATTCGTTCTAACTATATATTCTTCTTTAAACCAAGATTATGAGTCATTCATTGAAATATCAGTGCCATTATTCGAAGGTCGCTGGTTCGGTTCCTGCTCACGGCAAGTTATCTTTTAACGCACTTTTATTTACTTTTCTTTCTTCGCATTTACATTACAATAGGTCTAATAACTTCCCATATACAATGCTTTGCACGATTGTCTGCTAAATCCTATATATATATATATATATATATATATATATATATATATATATAGAGAGAGAGAGAGAGAGAGAGAGAGAGAGAGAATGGAAAAAAGTGTATATAAAGAAAGTAAAGGAAAGAAGTATATATATTGCCACCTAGAATTGTGAGCCGGCAAGCCCTAGCGAGCCGAAGAGGGCAAAGAGAACGAAGAAGTTGTGCTGGCGCTTCGTTTCAAGATACTCGCTTCTTTCTTTCTGCCCCGCTATTCCTGTCTTGTCTCTACGGCTCTTGGTGCGTAACAAGCGGATGGACGTGCTCGGTGATCAATGCACCCTACCCCTCCACATAGCAAGAACTCAAGCGTCGTACCGGTGGTCACTCCTGTGCACCACGCCAGCAGAAGAATCCGAGGGCAATTCCTTGAGTTTCGACTGTTCGCAAACAACATGGCAGCTCCGACCAGCCCTACCGACACTAATACAACTGGTACGAACAGCACAGCGCCGCTTCATTGCACCTTACTAACACCGCGAACGCCAAATCCCTTTTATGGCACTGCACTTGAGGATGTCAAAGATTGGCTTGTTCATTACGAGTTCATTGCCATGCACAACCAGTGAGACGACGCAGACAAACTGCGGCACGTCTATTTCAGTCTTCTGGATGGCGCACGTGTATGGTATGAGAACCGGGCTGGTATTTTTACATCATGGGAAGACTTCAAACGCCGCCGTCTTGGGAAATATGCCAGCCCTGACCGCCGGGAGAGAGCTGAACGTGATCTACAGTCCCGCATACAACTGCCGAATAAAGGGGTTGCGATTTATGTCGAGGATATGACGCGTCTTTTCCACCGAGCTGACCCCGGCATGCCAGAAGAAAAGAAGGTACGGTACCTCATGCGTGGGGTGAAACATCAGCTTTTTGGTGGCCTTGTGTGCAGTCTACCCAAGACTGTGTCAGAATTTCTCACAGAAGCCGTCACCATTGAAACCACTCTTGGGCACCAGGCCCCATCACACGAACGGCTCGTCAACGCTTCAACTACGGACTACTTGGGAGATTTCGGTGGCCAAATGGATTTATTCCGAGAGCTCATACGTTCAGTCATCCGCGAAAAACTCCAGAAGCTGTCAGTGCCCTCGCAGCACACTATCTCCTCGTTGTCCAGTGTTGTCCGAGATGAAGTCCAGCATGCCTTAATAGAACTGCCTTTCATGCGGGATTATCAACCACCCAGTGACTTTCCCCGCATGTCGTATGCTCAAGCTTTGCGGCAACCTGTTACACCTGGAATTCCCCATTCCACTGTGGCCCCAGACATGCCGCAGACGGTCCGCGGTGCCATATTACAGCGCACCTCGCCTGATCTCGCGGAAATCAGACGTCTGGCGTGCGCCAGATCGACGTCCTCTCTGCTTCTACTGTTGCGAAGCTGGGGTAGTGGTGCAGGCTCTTCTCTTCTCACAATATGTTGCGAAGCTGGGAATCTGTACCGACAGTGTTCTTACCAATAGCTTGGAGTACGCGGATTTTCGACGAACTCACCGCTACACAGGTTCGACCAGCAGCCCCCTTAAATTGAAGAGTATGTGGCTCAGAAGCGCGGAACTTTGTCATCCTTGCACAAGTCACGCTCCCCGTCACCGCGGTGATTTTCTCCTGATTGCCGTACCTATTCGAGCGTGGCGCAGGGTTGGTCACCCAGACCACGCCGGGAAAAATAACCACAGCGACTTTCGGGGTCGAGGCCGCTCATACTGGACAAGCTCAAGGCCTCCTACCGACGCTTCCGCAAACTGACAATTCCCCGATGACGACGACACCAGCTGGTTCCACATATTTCATTAGACATTCCAGTGCTGCTCGATGGTCGCAAAGTCAGTGCTTTAGTTGACACTGGTGCAGATTTTTCTACAATAAGTGAAAACCAGGCTGCTCTCCTGAAGAAAGTGACGATGCCTTGGAACCTCGGGCCGATTTGTACTGCTGGCGGGCTCATCGTCACGCCACTCGGCATTTACACAGCACGTATACAGATTCGTGGTTCTACCTTCGTTGTCAGCTTGAGCGTTTTCTGTTAGTGTTATCGAGACTTGATCATTGGCACGGACTTCCTGAGGGAGCACGGTGCTATCATCGACCTTCGACAACGCCTCGTCACGTTCTCAACAAAACCGCCACACTAGAGCATAATCCCAGTCACGATCGAGTATGTCTGCGTGTATTTCACGATGCTGTGACGATACCACCGCGCTCCAGTGTTATGGTTCAAGTGGCCTGTATCTCACGGTGAAATGGTGAGCACACGGTGAAATGGTGGCGGAGACTAATCGATCCATACTCTTTTCCCAAGTTGTCTGCGTTGCACGAATCCTATTAGACCTCCAGGCTGGCCACTGCGAGGTACTTGTTACGAACTTCAGCTACGAGCGCCGACACCTTTTCCGTGGTACTGTCATCGCCTATGCCTACCCAGTAACCAATGTGATTGAGTGTTTTGCTTCCGAGGCAACAGATAATGCCGAAGCACTTCTCCGGGGCGTCGACATAAATCGAACGCTTTCTGACGAAAACAAACGAAGACTTAACGACCTGTTGATAGAATTTCACGCCCGTTTTGCTCGTTCATCGAGAATCCATCAGACATCAATTACTAAACACCGTATTATCACCTACGGCAACGCGCACCTTATACGGCAACAGCCTTACCGCGTTTCACCAACCGAACGACGCGTGATTCAAAAGCAAGTGAAAGAAATGCTTCAAGACGGTGTAATACAGCCATCGAGCAGCCCTTGGTCATCGCCAGTGGTCTTTGTAAGGAAGAAGGATGGCACACTGCGCTTTTGTGTCGATTATAGGAAGCTCAATAACGTCACAAAGAAAGACGTGTACCCGTTGCCTCGAGTGGACGATTCTCTTGACAGGCTGAGGCGAGCAAAGTAGTTTTGTTCAATCGACCTCAAAAGGGGTTATTGGCAAATTGAAGTCGATGAACGTGACCGCGAAAAAACGGCTTTTGTAACTCCTGACGGCCTGTATGAATTCCGAGTGCTCCCATTCGGCCTCTGTTCCACTCCGCCCACATTCCAACGAATGATGGATGCCATTCTCTTTGACCTCAAGTGGAAAAGCTGCCTCGTTTATCTAGATGATGTCGTTGCCTTTTCAAAAACGTTTGACGAGCACCTTCGTCGCCTTAGGAGTGTTCTTGAATCTATACGATCCACTGACCTTACCCTCAAGCCTGAGAAGTGCCATTTCGGCTACAAAGAACTGAAGTTCCTGGGTCACGTTGTGAGCGCTGCAGGTGTTCGGCCCTATCCCGAGAAGACTGCCGCTGTGGCTGCTTTTTCGGCTCCGACAGACAAAAAAAGTCTTCGACGATTTCTAGGGCTCTGCACATACTTTCAGCGCTTTATTGAAAACTTCTCCAAGATTTCGGAGCCTCTCATCAGACTTACGCGTGACGACACCCCATTTCTGTGGACTGACGAAGAAGCGACTGCCTTTGCAGAACTTCAATATCGGTTGTCTTCCCCTCCTGTACTTGGCCATTTCGATGAGGACGCTGACACAGAGGAGCGCACTGACGCAAGCAACATTTGTCTCGGAGCTATCCTGGTGCAAACACAAGATGGGACCGAACGTGAGATTGCCTACGCGAGCCGCACTCTGTCACGTGCCGAAACCAACTATTCAACGTCAGAGAAGGAATGTCTCGCGGTAATATGGGCGATTACAAAGTTCAGGCGTTATCTCTATGGGCGCCCATTTGAAGTTGTAACTGATCACTACGCTTTATGTTGGTTGGCTAACCTGCGAGACCCCTTTGGGCGATTAGCACGATGGAGTCTGCGACTTCAGGAGTTCGAGGTCACCGTCGTATACAAGTCGGGTAGAAAGCATGAAAACGCCGATCCGCTATCACGAGCACCTCTGGAATCCGACCATACAGCTGTAGAAGACGACAGTGCCTTCCTGTGGACTTTCAGTGGGGCGGACCTCTTCAGTAAGCAACGAGCGGACCCCGAGTTGAGGCCCATCATCGATCATTTAGAAGGCAGCACCGCGTCTGTTCCTCGTCCACTTTCCCGTACGTTGCCGTAATTTTGCTTACGACAAGGCATATTATACAAGAACAACACCTGTGTTGGCAGCAGCTTTTATCTTCTAGTCGTTCCTCAAGACCATCGTGATGACATCCTATTAGCCGGCCACGATGGGCCGACATCCGGCCATTTGAGATACACACGGACGCTCGACCGGGTATACGACAGCTATATTTCTGGCCAAAACTCGCAGCTTGTGTCAAACGCTACGTGAAAGGATGCGGCGAATGTCAGCGTCGCAAGTCACCACCTGTAAAGCCTGCAGGCCTTTTACAACCCATCGAACAACCACGTATGCCGTTTGACCAAGTTGGGATGGACCTCCTTGGACCGTTTCCCTTGTCTCACTCCGGAAACAAGTGGATCATCGTCGCAACTGATTACTTGACACGTTACGCTGAGACCAAGCCATTGCCACGCGGTACAGCATCTGAAGTCACCCAGTTTTTCATGCATCACATTCTGCTTCGTCACGGCGCCCCGTCATTCATCATCACTGACCGAGGGACAGTGTTTACGGCAAAGCTGTTGGACGGCATCTTCAAGCTCAGTTACACGAACCACCGTACGACAAGTGTATGCCACCCCCAGAGTAACGGCTTGACAGAAAGGCTAAACAAAACGCT